ACCCACAGGTTGAGAACCATTGCCCTATACCATTTCAGACAAATGACTGACCAGTCTCTTCTTAAAAGACTCCAGTGTTGGAGCATTCACAACTTCTGGAGGCAAACTGTTCCACTGATTAATTGTTCTAACTATCAGGACATTTCTTCTTAGTTCTAGGTTGCATTTCTCCTTGATTAGTTTCCATCCATTGCTTCTAGTTCTGCCTTCAGGTGTTTGGGAGAATAAGCTAATCACCCTCTCTTCTTTGTGGCAGCCCATCAAATATTGAAACACTGCTATCATATTGTCCCTAGTCCTTCTTTTCACTAGACTAGACATACCCAATTCCTACAACCATTCTTCATGTTTTAGACTCCAGTCCTCTAATCATCTTTGTTACTCTTCTCTGCACTCTTTCTAGAGTCGCAACATATATTTATATCATGGTGACCAAAACTGGAGGCATTATAAAGTAGTACTAAACACTTCACATGATCTTGACTCTGTCCCTCTATTAATGCAGCTAGGACTGCATTGGCTTTTTTGGCAGCTGGTGTATGCTTCTGGCTCATATTTAATTGACTGTCCACTAGGATTCCAAGATCCTTTTCACAGTTACTACTATTGAGTACCCCCAGATGAGCTAATCTAACTTATGTAATTTATGTAAGTTTGATAAACTTATGTAAATTATGTATATTAACAGAATCTTACAAGACTGAAAGTAATTCAGTAATTCAGAGCTGCTTAACTCATACTTTGCATCAATCTTCACATAAAAAGAAATTATAGCCCAACATACCCAAAAACCACTGCAAAAGACAAATTAGAAACAAAAATTAAAATAAGCAAGAAGATGGTAAGAGAACACCTATCCGACCTTGACAAATATAAATCACCAGGACCCGACAGATTACATCCCAGAGTTCTGAAGGAGTTGGCAGATGTTATCTTAGAACCATTGCACCACATCTTTCAAAATTCCTGGAGCACCAGGGAAATACCTGAGGATTGGAAAAGGGCTGATTGGTTCCCATCTTCAAGAAAGGAAAAAAAACAGACTCAGGAAACTACAGACCAATTGGTTTAACATCAATACCTGGGAAGATCCTAGAAAAGATAATCAAAAAACAGATCTGCAAGCAACTAGAAGCAAACAAAGTTATACCTAGTAGCCAGCAGGGGTTTGATAAAAACAGATCATGCCAAACCAATCTTATTTCATTCTTCAGCAAAGCGATTACAATAATAGACCAGCAAAATACTGTGGACATAGTATATTTAGACTTCAGTAAGGCATTTGATAAAGTACATCACAACCTACTCCTTGGTAAGCTAGAAAAAGGTGGAATAGACAACATCACCACCAGATGGATCTGTAGCTGGCTGGCAAACCATACTCAACGAGTAGTCCTCAATGGCACAACATCCACATGAACAGAAGTAAGCAGAAGTAAGCAGAACCACAAGGTTCCATTTTAGGCCCAGTACTCTTCAATATCTTCATCAATGACTTAGATGAGGGAATTGAAGGGAAACTCATCAAATTTCAGATGACACTAAACTGGCAAGAATAGCCAACACCCCAGAAGACAAACTCAGGATCCAAAAAGATCCTGACAAACTTGAACAATGGGTCCTATCCAACAAAACGAGTTTCAATGTGGAGAAAAATAAAGTTTTACATTTAGGTAGGAAAAATCAAAGGTACAAGTACAGACTGGGCAAGACCCGGCTTAAAAACAGTAACTATGAGAGGGACCTTGGAGTCCTAGTGGATGATCACTTAACCATGAACCAGCAGTGTGCAGCAGCAGCCAAAAAAAACTAATACAATTCTGGGTTGTATAAACAGAGGCATAACATCAAGATCATGTGAAGTATTAGTACCACTTTATAAAACCCTAGTAAGGCCACACCTGGAATACTGCAGCCAATTTTGGTCACCATATCACAAAAAAGATGTTGAGAGTTTGGAAAAAAATTTAGAGAAGAGCAACTAAGGTGATCAAAGGCCGGGAGACTAAAATATATAAAGTATAGTATAGGACTTGGGTTTGGCTAGTCTAAAGAAAAGAAGAAATAAGGGAGACATGATAGCAGTGTTCCAGTACCTGAGGGGCTGCCACAAAGAAGAGGGGATCATGTTATTCACCAAAGCACCAGAGGCTGGACAAGAAACAATGGTTGGAAACTGATCAAAGAGAGAAGCAACCTGGAATTAAAGAGAAAGTTCCTAACAGCGAGGACAATTAACCAATGGAACAGCTTGCCTCCAGAAATCGTGGGCGCTTCATCACTGGAGATTTTTAAAAAGAGGCTAGATAGTCACTTGTCTGAGATGGCATAGGTTCTCCTGTTTGAACAGGAGGCTGGACTAGAAGACCTCCAAGGTCCCTTCCAGCCCTACTCTATTCAATTCTCCCTTTCTCTCTTTCTAGTATACAGAAAACTAGGGAGAGTCCCTTCTGAAATGCTTCTCATGTGTTCTTCTCATCTGTGTGCAGGTAGTTCTCAATTTATGACTACAATTGAGCCCAACATTTCTGTTGCTAAGTGAGTCATTTGTTCAATGAACTTTGCCCCATTTTACGACCTTTCTTGCCAGATTTGTTAAATAAAATCACTGCAGTTCTTAAGTTGGTAACATGGTTGTTAAGTGAATCCGGCTTTCCTATTGGCTTTGTTTGTCAGAAGATCGCAAACGGGATCACGTGATCCTGGAACACTTCGACCATCATAAATATGAGTCAGTTGCCAAGCATCAGAATATTGATCACATGACCCTGGGCATGCTGCAATAAGTGTGAAAAATGGCCATAAGTCACTTTGTGACTTATGTGAAAAATGGTCATAAGCCATTGTAATTTTGAATGGTCACTAAATGAGCTGTTGTAAGTAGAGGACTACCTGTTCTGACCTGCCTCTTATCAAAAGGTTGCCTAGCCTGTGGCTCTTCCTCCTGTTTCCCAAGATTATTCCCACATACCATTACATCTCTCTTCCACCCAGTTTTCAGAATAATAGAGGAAGGTGATCTCATAGTTTAATGTTTCAAATTACAAACAAAAATCTTAGATGCCAGCTACCTGGATATCTTTCCAGCCCCAGGCAATATTTTTAAGTGCACACATCTATCCTCCCTCTCCCCGTCCTTTTAGTGTTCTACCTGATCCTAGTACTCTGAACCAGCAAAGAGTTATGCCAGTAGCATCTGCGGTGTAAATTTATAACTGAGTGATGGTTTCTGACATTTATGTATATACAAGCTGGTACATCTTTCTCCATTCTCACTTCCGTGACAGCTCATGAAATTTCCTTGTCAGAATCTGCTATTTTCTTGCAAGAGTGGCACAGTCTGATGGATGAGAGGACACTCCAGGAAGGAAAGGTGATGTAGAATCATTTGAAGATTTTGAAGAAGCACTAAAAGTATCTGTCAGAGATACTTTACAAATACCAGAACTGGTCCATAAGGCTGAAGTTTATGGCCCAGACCTGAGTTTTAAAATAATTGCTTTGGAATTCACAAGGGTCAGAAGAAAAAGCTTGGAGTAGAACTTAGATCATACTCTTACCAATCTTTGATTTGCAAACAGCTATTATTAGCTTTCATGATAAAAGTCCAGGAAATTCCCTTTTTTCAGTAGCAATTTTTCTTTCTTTCTTTCTCTCTTTCTGTCCTTCCTTCCTTCTTTCTTCAGAGAAAATATGGAAGATTAGGAAAATTTTCCCTATGTAGTGTTGTTCAGATATGGTAGGCTGCAATTCCTAATAACGTCTATCAGTTGATTAGGGATTCCAGTTGTACTCCAGTGAATCTAGAGAGCATGAAGGTGGAATAGAGAAAGCTGTATTGTATTAAGAGTTTTAATTAAAGTCTGCACTTGTCCAACTGGTTGTGAAACATTATGGGGACAATTCTGATTCCCATGGCTAGTGATCATTGCAGTTAGTCTTCATGTTGACCAGCACTGGCTAGAATAGGGAAATGTGAGTAGCCCAAAATGATTAGCTTTCTTTTCAATCAACAAGAAGCCCAAAGCTGATCTGATCCTCTTCCATGTATTATTTTAATTATTATTTATTGGTTTTCATTAGGCTACCAAAATTCTCCAGCTAAGCTCCAGTCTGAGGCTCAAAATGGGGATCAGAAGACCTCTGAGAGAACTCATTGCCACATCCTGGTAGGTTTGGGGGGGGGGTGCAGGTCTGGCCTCTCCCAAGAGCTGCTGATCTCCTGCGAATCTAAAGGAAAAAGTCAGGAACAAGGGGGACAAGAAAGCAACCATATCAGGTTTTGGGCTCTGTGCTGCTTAAGCTCTTCCCAATTCCCCCCTTCTCCTTAACCTCTTCAGAGATCATTTGCAATCGAAGAACGAGGTATCCAGGTAATTTTTTCTTAAGGAGCAGCAACCCGCCCCGCAGGGGCCGTTATGAACCAGCGGGGAAGTCGGGAAAAAAAAACAAAAAACAGGCTGAAATATTCCAGCTGGTCAGATGTGCAAACCAGACACTCCGTTACTTCCGATGAGACCAACTCAAGATATTGCGTGATGCCTTACGACTTTAAAAAGGAGCCCGTGGGAAGGAGGATGAGAAGTTAACTTGCAAAGAACCACTTGTCACCCCTTCTGAAGTCCCACCGCAGCTACGGGAAAAGTCTGGATGAAGACGAAAGCGAGCGTGCCCCACCCCACCCTTCTTCCCATCATATTCCTTTCCCTGCAGTTCTTCCCTCTTCATTTACTGGGGGAAGCGCCGGCCCTTCGGCCAAAGTTAGGAGGGCAACCTTTGAACGTGCAGCCGGCTTACTTTCAGCACCACCCATTTCTCCAGCGGTTTGCAAAAAAAGAACGAAGACGCAGTCAAAGGAGGGCAAAGCGGCTGAAAGAATGGGTCGTCGCGTCGGCAGACCCTACAGCGCATGCTCAGGCTACCACTTTCCAGGCCGGCCGGCCGGGCAATGGCGTTGGTTTGCGCAGTCCTAAAAAACGGGTTGAGCGGGTTAGACTTACGCGCTCGGGTTGAGGGGCGCAGAGCTCCTCCGGCCAGCCTCGCCGCCGCTCCCCCAGCAAGTTCATGGAGGCCCGGCCCAGGCAGCCAGTTCACCTCTGTCCGCGCTAAGCTCGCTGGGCCGCTTCTCTGGGGACTCCGCGCCCGGCACTCCGCCCCTTCTTTTCTCCATAGCCAATCCTCTTAATTTAGCCGCGGAAGGCAAATGCTCCGTCGCCCGCGCAGCTTTTGCCTCGAATGGCAAGGCCCGACGGGCAGCGGGGAGCTCTCCCGGGGCAGTTCCGTAACCCCCAGAGGTAGCGGTGCTTAAGAAGTCCAGGACGCAATTCAGGGCGTTCCAAGAATGAAAAGGCGCGCTCCGGATAGCTTAGGAGCTGTTGCCAATTGTAAAGGAAAATTTTGGTTCACGGAGCCCGTTAAAGTACGGTTTGCTTAACCGTGGCTTCTTGAATGCACTACTACCCCGTGGCTGGCTTCGCATATGCAAAACGTAGTGGTGTCTGGTGTCCTCGTTTGAGATGAGTGGAAACGTTATCTTCTTCAGCCTGGGACATTCCAGAAGGCTTTGCCTAACCACAGAGTTTGTACAGGTGTTTGTACGGGTAGTTCTCGACTTAAAACCACAGTTTCTGTTACTAAGCAAGAAAGTTGTTAAGGGAGTTTTGCCCCATTTTATAACCTTTCTTGCCACAGTTGTAAAGTGAACCTGGACAAGAAGATCATAAAAGGTGATAACGTGACTCTGGGACATTGCAACTCATAAATACATGCCAGTTGCCAAGAGGTTGAATTTTGATTATATAACTGTGGGGATGCTGCAACAGTCATACATATGAAAATGGTCACTTTTTTTCCAGTGCCATTGTAACTTTGAACGGTCACTAAACAAACTGTTGTAAGTTGAGGACTATCTGCATGTCACTTATTGTTTAGTGCAGTGGTTCTCAACCTTTTTAATGCCGTGACCCCAACCGGTTGTAAGTAGAGGACTACTCAACCAGTTGTAAGTCGAGGACTACTCAACTGGTGCAGCACCGTTTGCAGAATGGGACTTTTGGCGGGCTCAGCAGGGCAGAGACAGCCTGGACAATCCTATTGGCTTTTGAAAGCCAATAGAATTAGACTCTATTCAAGAGAGTCTATTCTATTGGCTTTCAAAAGCCAATAGAATAAAAGGGAGTAGCACAGCTAAGGAAAAGGGAGAAAAAATGGCGGACTGCGTTGTTTGGCGACCCCCATGAAATGGTCTTTCGACCCCAAATGGGGTCCTTACCCACAGGTTGAGAACCACTGGTTTTTGCATGTCAGGTCCTGTAGTCCCATTAGACCTTATTCTCCACAATTCTTTGACAAATAGCAGAAAGTCCATAAAGGACTGGTAAAAAAAAATACATATTTTAATCTTGATAAAAAAACAACAATTTTAGATTCCATCCTTTTAGTTCTAACAATCCTAAGCTTTAGTTCATTCAGATATTGTTTAGAATTTGATTTCTCTTCACTTTTTCTTTGTCCCACAGAATTCTTCAAGGCTTCAACAAGACTCTTTTATAAATCTAATAGCAAAAAATTAGCTAGGTGATTCTCTTGGCTGGTCATTTTTATTTCCCTTTTAAATTTTGAAACCTCAGCTAGTTTCTTTGGAAGATCCAGTGAAACATCCTTTTTTAATCCTCTTGGCCTGTGGGTTGTAAATTCACTTTTGATACCATCTCTATCTCATCAGATAAAATGTATTCTACATCTGCCATTTCTTCAATAACATCTTTTGGACATAGTCTATCCATGGAAGCAGACATCATTACTGACATTGTTGATATTATGGCTACTAATTTCTGACCCCATTATTTTCATTGTTTATAATGTTTTGCAACTTTTTACAGGCTTTAAGTAAAAACATAGGCCACCTCCAGTATTCAGATTTTGAAATTAGGAAATAGCTTATCTTATGCGTGTCTTGTAAAAACAATAACAGAATCTAATTTGCATGAGAAGGTGTTCTTTATAATTAATTCTAAAATCTTATTGCAAAACTTTCACTATTCCAATTTTATTTGGATCTTTAGCCCATGTATAACTTTTTATGATTAAAATGTTATTTAGCTTTTTGCTGTGGGGACGGGGCAGGAGTGGTTTTGGGGCACTCGATCTCTAAAAGGTTCGCCATCACTGGTCTATAGCTTTGGCAGTCATAATATCCTATTCAAAATGCAGAGGTGAATGCCAGTAGAAAACCTTATTATATCCTTTTTCTCAACCTGAATTTCACTTGGGTGACTAATGTGGCTCTCAAAGTCAAAAAGATTTTTTGGGGAAATTCCTCTAGGAACTTTTAAGTGTACAGCATAATGATACAACTCAGCAATATTGAAATCTCAGTACCAAGATTCTTCAATTCCTTTCCACCATGTGGAAGACGTGAATGTTCATATATCACAAGGATCAGAAAACTTCTTAACTATCAACTTTTTACAGATAAGGGTTTTCCAGACAGCTTTAAATAGAATAATGTTCTGAAAAGTTTCCTCATGTAGATAAGTGTGAGTGTTCATTTCAATATTTAGAGCTTGTTCAAGAATTTCAGTACATTATTTTATGTTGAAAAAAAACTAACCTATTTTATGAAACTCCCATTGTATATTAAGAGAAACTAAGAGCTTTATTTTATGCATTAAGAAAAATGATCTCTATTGGAGTGTTGGAAATAGTATTGTGCAATAAACAATAACATACAAATTCCAACCTGCCAAATTGCCAAAAGTAAAATATTTTCTGCAGAAAATGTTGACTCTTGAAATTTTTATAGCCCATACTTTTTGTCTCCATTTCATTTTCATCTAATATTATTTCATTCTTTTTCCACATTCTAACAACCCCCAATAAGTGTCTGATACACATACTGATCCTAGAAGTCTAGAACATTGTAGCAAACCCTAATTTTTCCTGAAAGACAGGAATGTTCTTAGGGACAGTGACACTTGTGGTCTTCTAATATGAAAAAAAAAAAAAATAGCAATAGCACTTTGCACCTAGATTTATATACCACTTCATAGTGCTTTACAGCACTCTCTGAGCTATTTACAATGTCAACTTATTGTACCCAGCAGTCTGGGTCCTCATTTTACCGGCTGAGTGAATCTTGAGCTGATCAGGATCGAACTCCTGACCATGGGCAGTTTGCCTGCAATACTGCATTCTAATTACTGTGCCACCACAGCTCAGGAGCACAGAAAAACCATTCATGAATATTATGAATTGCTAGTTTAAACAACATCTTTTCCTTTGTAGATGTTAAATATCTTATTACTACCTGTAATTCCACATCTGCTTGTGCTACATATACATAACTGCTATTGCTTGTATGTCATATAGCATTCTGCTAACACAATATGCAGCACTGGCTATAGGTCTCAATTCTAATCAGTAATGTTTAGATAATTCCTCTTGTAGTTTTCAACTTTTCTGCACAAACTGGAATTCAAGATAAGGTTGATATTTTAAGAATTATCATTGTAAAAAAAAAAGAGTTAAGTGTATTATACTTATTCCCATGCTCCTATCTCCATCCCATCCTCTCTTTCTTCCTTCCTTGCTTGCTTCCTCCCTGTCACAAAGGAGAGAAAACTATGATTTTCAGGAAGACTAATTAATAATTCTAATTTGTTAGGAAGAGAATCTGGTCAGTAGAGAGTGGTTATAGCTTCATGTACAAACATTTTCTGATCCACATTACTTTAGTTGGATTATACTACAGTTCCACCAGGTTCAGGACAAAGACTTCATGATATTAAAAATGATTGAGAATGTGTATAAAAACGTAGGGGACTGTATTAGAATAAATATTTTGAAAACTAAAGCAATTGGCATATGTTTTTTTTTTACAAAAAGCTATTATTGTTCAAATTATTGAACACATCTATATGCATAAAATCCAAACTGACCTTAACTTCTGGGCAAAAGTAGTAAGATTATTTTGTTAGATAGCACTTAAGAGCCAAGCATGGAGCAGGTGCCTGCTTTTACTCAAATAATATGTTAACATATCTATGTTAATATACAGATGTTGACTCTTAGCAACATGTAGATTTTCTTCATGCCAATCTATCCCTAATTGTCTTTTTCAAGTCTTCCAATGCTATACTGATTGCCACTGTAACCTCACCCATCCATTCTGCTGCTGGTCATCTGTTTCTTCTGTTTCCGTCCACCTTTCCCAGCATTAAAGCTTTCTCCAGAGAGTTAGGTCTTTACATATTATGGTTTGAAGTAGAATAATTTGAGCCTAGTCATTTGTGTCTTAAGTGTACACTCTTGGTTGATTTGTTCAATGGTCTATTAGTTTGTTTTCTTGGCTGATTATAGTATTCTCAGAAGTCTTCTCCAACATCGAAATTCAAAGTCAACATTCTTCCTATCCTACTTCTTCAAAGTCCAACTTTCATTTCCATAGAGAGTAATAGAGAATATTATGGTTGCCCTATTCTGATCTTTGTAGTTATAAAACACATCCCTGATTTCATAGTTGATCCTAAAAGGAAGAACTATTCATCATTTTGATATTTCATTGTCAATTTCCATTAGTTGACTAAAGTAAAGGCATAGTTTACAGCAGGAGACTAGGAACATGTGTCTCAAAAACTTACATTAGCTTTGCTTTTCTCAATAAAAATTTCTTGTCTCTCTGTGAACAAGTTTTGGACCTTTTTTTTTTTTATAAAGCAAATAAAAGCTGTGTGGCTAGAGAAGACTCAAATGTCCTCAAATTCATGCAAAATGAATTTATTTGATAATAAAACAGTAAGATGTTGTCTAATTTCTAAACTTCTCTTTTCTACAAATCCTATCTGCTTGTTATAAGGACATAAACAGTGCTCTTCTGGATTAGAGCCCTGGATCATCTAGTCCACAGGTCGGCAACCTGCGGCTCCGGAGCCGCATGCGGCTCTTTGAGCCTTCCCCTGCGGCTCCCAGCCTCCTCTGCCTTTGCAGAGAGAGACAGAGACAGAGAGAGGAATTGTGCTTCCCTGCTTCTCTCTCTCTCTCTGTGTGTGTGTGTTTGTGTGTGGTTTTGTGTGTGTGTGTGTGTGGCTGTGTGTGTGTGTGTAAAAGAGAGTGCACTCACAATGTTCTCCGAGGAGCTGAAAAGCTTACTGGGCGGAGCTCCTCCCTTTGCTGCGTCTCTGCAGAAAGCAGGAAGCAGGAAGGGCAGGAGAGAGCTAGCTAGCCCAGCTAGGCTGACTCAGGAATTCTGGGAGTTGAAGTCCATGAGTCATAAAAGAGACGAGGGT